GAGGAGAGGAGAGGAGAGGAGAGGAGAGGAGAGGAGAGGAGAGGAGAGGAGAGGAGAGGAGAGGAGAGGAGAGGTGACAACAGAAGGAAGATAGAGGGAAATAGAAGAAAGAAATCAAAGAGGAGAAAACAAACGAAAGCACAGGAGGGGATGAAAACAAATGCTCACCATGGCCATGTCATCGGGAACGCTCGTGTTGTTATACACGTCAACACGAAGTGGATGAAAGATATAGTAACAGAGTAATCCCAAGCATGCTTGGTGCTCCTGACGATGAAATAGATGAACGCTGCCACACATACATCAGCACAAACATACTCCTCGCTGCCTAATCCATTCTTGCTTCCCATCTCCTCTGTTTCCCTCTCTCACACCTCCCATACGCAATCCTCCTACATCGGCTTTTCGGCACCGTCATAACCTGTGTCTTCTCCTCTTCATCATCCTACTACTATTCCTCCTCCCCCATCCTCCTCGTCCTCAACCTCATTATGCCCTTCCCAGTTCCAATCCTCCTCATCCTCCTGTTCGTCCTACTCTTCCCACCTCCCCCACCTCCTCCTACTCCTCTACGACCACCAGCATCGCGTTTCTTGGCATATCACCAAAGCTCTCCTCTCCTCACCTATCAGAAATCCCTGCGAGATCGCCATAGTCAACCACGCCGTCAGCGCAATGTTCCCCTGCCCGAACCCAAAGTCGAAGTGCCAGAACGGAAGGAGGCCGGCGCTGTACTTGTCGCTGACCGACATGTCAGCATGATTGCTGCATGATGTCAATCACCTCTACGGCATTAGACGACAAACGCGCACCTATGATTCCTATAGGACGAATACTTCCAGAGGCCTCCACTCAGGCTCGCCGCCATGATCATGCAGAAGATGTATTGTACAGAATAGAACAGCTGAAGATATCGACAAGTCATTGGATGTCAAAGGATATCATACACAACTCAAGGACATACCAAGATGATGATGGCAAGGTTGCGCAGAATTGTCCTCGTCTCTCCGTCGGTCTTGGTAGTCATCTTGATTGACTCCAGCTATGTTCCTGTCTCAGCCACTTTCTGGAGGAAGAAGATGATACAGCTAGCGCAAACTGAGCTGAGCAGCTGTCCAGCAGAGGTCTTTATGCTCCTGAGATGGGGTAGCGGGCAGAAATAGGACTCTGCTGCGGTACAAGCTGATTTGCAGCAAGACGACTTTGTATGACAAGGAATTCAGGGAGAGTTCAAACAAGGCTATGTGTGCGGGATAAGAGAGACGTGCTCTCTAGCAACGATCTCTCAATCACTCGTGCTGTTGTCTCCTTTCCTCTCTCCTCTTCTCTCCTACCGGCGTTGAAATTTCAATATCTTAGCGATTCCCGCCATGCCCTTCGGTTGGACCGTTGCAAAACGTTACAGTAGACCCCAGTAACACGGCTGCGCAGTCTGCAGTGCGCCCGGCCCGGCCCGGACTCCGGGAGCCCGGCCCGGCCTGGAGCCTGGGGCCCGCCCGGCCCCGCCGGCGGAGTCAGGGCCGCGCAGTGGCCCGGCCGCCAAGCCCGCGACCGTGGAACCGGCACTGTGACGAGTCTGATCGGGCAGTGCGGCAGTGGTGTCATGTCACCCGGACCCTACCACCCCGGGCCCCCCGAGCCCGACCCGGTGACCGGCCGGGCAGTGTTTAAAACTGACGCCGGACTGGGCCCCTCAGTCGCCGGGACTTCTCCGGTCAACGGGCCCGCCCGGGGTCGTCCTCAGTGACCTCCTGACCGTCCGAACAGAGCATAACTGGCCGGGCTCCGAGGCTCGCTCGGATCCGGGCCTGAGGATACACTACTCCAGTTTGAATCTGCTGGCAAGGCCCCCTCTGGAGGTCTTTGCTGCAGGAACAGTGTGGCTTACTAGTCGAAGATGTTTTGTGGAGTCACTGGTTCAACCCGTTGGAAGCCGCCTGCTGCAATGCAAGGACCGGGTTCTCTTCACTACGAGAGAGGAAGGTTTCCTCTCCGGCAAGTGCTGAAGGGATGTTCAATGCCAAGTTTTAAGGAGGGGAGCTTGTCAACTTCCAATGTGAGGACACAATGATAATCCTAGTCAGAATTAGGTGATCATCCCCCCATTTCGTCTATGTGCCACGTCATGTTGGGGCCACACAAGTGCGTGTTGGCTTGTTGTGTTTGTTTTGATTGTTGTGTAGATAGATAGATAACCTCCTGTAACATTGCTCTCCTCTTAGTAGAGAGATTCTCACACAGGTTCTTGTTGAGCTACGCTGAAGGTTCATCCTGTAAAGCCTCGGGGTGTGACAGATTCGCACTGCACATGCTCTAGCGCCTCCTCCAGCCACTCCCGCGTAGACAAGCTCCTGCTCCCTGCCCATGCCCCTCTCCCCCTCTCCTCCTCCCAGCCCCCCTGCCCCGCTCAGTGCACCAGCGACGCGGTTGAGAACTACCTCTCCTCCAGGTTGGCTGCTCTCATTCCCGGGAAGGGCTCTTTGAATGAGCGATGCATTGCCTTGAAAGGCGGTATGGTCAAGGTGTACAAGGGAAACAAACCCGGTGTTGAAATGCTGTGGAATCAGACTACCGCTCCGAACTTTGCGGTGACGTTCTGGTGGAAGCCGGACTTGCCCACTTCCTACGAGAAGAAAACAAGAAAGAGTCTTCTGTACAAAGGGCCCAAGATTGAACAGAACTCAAAGTTGCCTTCTAACGTGCCGCTGCACATCGAAGTGGAGCCTCAAGGAAATGATGTTTCCCTCATTGTCACTGTCGCTGGATACGAGAGCAAAGTGCCAGCAGAAAAGTGCTCCATGCTCACAAAGCAAGAATTTACTTTTGTTGCTGTCACGAAGCGAGACAGCTCAATCACAGTCTGGTTGGGAGTGGACGGGAAAGAAAACTGCCAAACGATCTGCCCAGAC